AAGCTCCATGCTGAGTCCATGCGATGCAACCTAGGATATAAAATGTCACAAAACAGCAATGTCACAGCTAACAGCCTAAGTGAAAGCAGAAGCAACTAACGAACATACATGTCCTAGGAAAGCAAAAGCAACTTACTAGCATACATGTCCTAGGAAAGCAGAAAGTAGTGACAACTAGATCCTAGAATGTTGGAGGCACTAGCCTCAGTCTGGTAACAACTGACTAGTGTATAAGTCCTAAGAACAGCAAAAGCAGAACAGCTAAATCCTAGAAATGTCAGAGGCAATAACCTCAGACTGAGAGCAACAAAGCAATCAACAAGATAACCATATGTCACATGAGAAGTGTGTCGCAAACCAAAGGGTGGGATGGTCTTTGAGGGTGGCAAATGCAGCCTAGGGGTCAAAAACTCCTAAGGGCATCCACAAATAGTGACAGGGGAAAACACATGTCATCAGGCTCAATGAGGGTAGGGAACTGGGAGCGAACAGAACCAATGACCCTAACAGATAGACCATCAGGGCGGGTAATGCTCGACTAAGGGGTGACCGCTATGGAGGGTCGACCGTGCAAGGGAACAAGGGAGCCTGGTATACWGGGCGCACCTAGATGAAGCATGCGGGKCTGCCTAACTAGGGCGTGAGGGCCGGCGAAGGGTGGAAAGATCATGGGTAAGGGAATCATGCAAACGACTCCTAAAGTGAGGGAAGTCGGAGCTAGATCCGTAAGATGGGAAGCCAGGGCAACGCTACGGTCCCGATGCCTATGCGTATATCAAGGGAGAGCCCAACTCAGAGGAACCCGGCTAAAGGGAGACCATCATGCGACACAAGCAGCGTACTGTACAGGGTAAAGTGGTAAGAGAGTGGCGACGTCTGCAGTAGGCAGAGCTGATCGTGATGAAGTCCATGAAGCTGCCGATGACGTCCACGATGAGAAGTTTGGAATGTCGTCGAGGAAGAGTCGCAACGTCGACGAGCCGAAGTAGCAAAACTGGAGTGGATGGAGTACTGAGAAGTCAAGGACGTGGGAAGGTAAGTCAGAGTCAATCGTCGTATCGAGCAGGACGACGACGAGTGCGATGTGGACGCTCAGAAGCATCCGGCTGCTGCTGAAGGTCTGCCTCAGATGGAGCAGGCTCGACTTCAGCGGTCTCCTCAGCCGGGGGAGAAGGAGGACGGTCAGGGGTTTGAGGAAGAGCAGTGAACCCAGCACGATGAGCACGGTCATAAGCACGCACCAACATGCGAGCGTGCTATAAGTGCTCGAGGGGCTCCCAGGTAGCCTCTTCATCAGGGTAACCCTTCCAACGTACGAGATACTCGACGTGGGGAGGGTTGTCGTCGGTGATTCGGCGACCAATAATGTCTGAAACGAGGAACTCCTCGTCACCGTCCACCATGATGGGTGGAGGGCGCTCGTATGGTCGTCCAACGAAACGCTCAGACAGTCTGCGGTAAGGACGCAGTAACGAGACGTGGTAGACATCGTGCACACGAGCCTGGCGTAGGTAGTAGGGCAGCTTCACACGAAAGCTGACCGGGCTAGATGTCGTATCAGAACCCACGGCCTGGAGGATGCGGCATGGGCCAAGGAAGCGACGCCGAAACTTGCGAAGCGTGTCCGCTTCGAGCTGTAAGTGGCGGGTGTCGATAAGCACATCATCACCGACTTTGAATGGATGGTTCATCCTCGATCGGTTCGCACGTGCTGCCATGCGAGTCTGGGAAGCGACTATGTGCTCATGTGCGGTCTTCATGATTGACGTCATGTGTGCAACCCAATCATCGAGCGCGGGACAACTCGTGTCGGGGTGCATTTGTGACGGTTGAAGAAAGTCCGCAGGAACACGAGGGTGATAGTCGAGGTCGCAATAGTTAGGCGACATCCCCGTGGCTGGCGAGACGGCGTGGTTGTAGGCTATCTCCGCGTGGGCAAGATAAAGATCCCACTGCTGGTCGTCACGAACAATCTTTCGAAGAATATCCCTGAGAGTCTTGTTCGTTATCTTGGTCTGACCATCAGTCTGAGGATGGTAAGACGAGGAGAAGCGGAGCTGAGTGCCGTATACCTCGTGGAGCCGTCGCCAGAATCGGCTGGTAAAGCGCAGGTCACGGTCAGATATGATGCTCAGAGGTAAGCCGTGGTCACGCACGACTCGGTCAAACACGATGTCGGCGACCTCACGTGCACTGATGGCATAGCGACACGGAACAAAGCGTGCACGTTTCGTGAAGCGGTCGACGACGACCAGGATAGCATCATGACCGCGAGGAGTCGGAGGACGAAGAGGACCGATAAAGTCCATCAAGATGGACTGCCAACGACCCTCAGGGATAGGAAGAGGCTAAAGCAAACCATAAGGCAAGTGGTTCGCACTGTTCACCTCCTGACAGGTGGGACACTCGGCGACGTAGTACTTCACAAAGTCCTTTCGCTTCGGCCAGACGTACAGGCGGCTCACACGAGCCAACGTCTTGTAGAAGCCCATATGACCGGCGGCTGCCTGGTCATGGAACTCTGCTAGTGCTCGGACACGTAGCTGTCCAGTGAAGGGAACGCAAATACGGGGCTCTCTGGTGCCCTGTGAACCGTGCCAGTACACAAGACCGTTGTACCCAAGAGAGTAGTTCGGGACGGTCTTGGCACTCCGAAGGGTCGCGTGGATGTCGCGATAGTCGGGGCAGTGGCGGTATTGAGTGCGAAACTCGTCGATCACCGAGTGGTGGACGGTGGTGACCGAGATGGAAGAGAGCTGGATGTGCTCCTGGTCGTGTTCAGGGCGCCAGGATAGGGCATCTGCGACCCGATTAGTCTCACCCTTGATGTGCTCAATGGTGAAACTAAACTCGGATAGGTCGCGCCACCAGCAAGCCCGTCGATGAGTGAGCTTCGGCTTCGTCAGAAAAGCCTGGACAACAGAGTTGTTCGTGCGCACCGTGAATGGTGCCCCGTGCAGGTAGTGGCGTCAGTGCCGAGCAGCATAAACTACTGCGAGAACCTCACGTTCATCAGCAGTGTAGTTTATCTCGGCGGGCAGGAGCTGACGGAAGTAGAAGGCTATCAGACAATCACATGAGCGAGTCTCGACAGTGCCGTCCTCGGCGATGGTAGGAGAATGGTCAATAGGAGGCTCGTCAGTAGCTGGACGAGTAGGCGTCAGTCGGGAAGCAGTGGTAGGGGTAGGTGGTGGGAAGCGAGGGATACGAGGATGAGAGGAATCAGGAGAGGAGGGGAAGATCTGAGAAAACACTGCTCCTATAGAAAAGTCTGACGCATCGGTGGTAAGGATAAAAGGGCGATCAAAATCGGGTAGGTGAAGAACCGATGCGTATGTCACCGCCTTCTTGAGGGCGAGGAAGGCGTCCTCGTGGAGGGGTGTCCAAGCCTTGGGTGGGTTCTTCCAGAGGAGGGTGAAGGTAAGGACGTAGGAATACCTAGCGTATCCCCGGATGAAGTTATTATAGTAGCTGGTCAGGCCTAGGAAGTTTCGAAGCTGCTTGGCGGATGTGGGGGCGGGCCACTCCGCAATAGCAGTGATCTTCGCGTCGTCCATGTGGAGACCCTGGTTAGACACGTAGTGTCCTAAGAAATCCACTTTGTGCTGGGCAAAGCGGCACTTGCTTAGCTTGGCGTAGAAGCCATGTCTGCGCAAGCGGTCAAGGACGTCGCGGAGGTGTCTGAGGTGTTCCTCAAGGGTACGACTGTAGACCAGGATATCGTTGAGGTAGACGAGAACGTACTGCTCTAGGTCAGCCGTATATCGTGCGAGTTCGTCAGCATCAGCGTCAGCGCGCGACGGCGGGGTGGACTCAACGGACAGTGGAGGGACGGAAGTAGAGATGGGAGTCATGGAGATAGAGGGGGGATCTGGCTCCAGAGGGATGAGCTCGGCGTCGGGACAGGGTGGATCATAGTGTAAGAGATCCATCACGTCCACCATAAAGAAGGTGACGTCGTCCTGTCGAATGAAGTGAGCGAATTGTCGAGGCGAGATGACAGTGATAGAGGGAGATGGTGTGGGCACTGAAGGCTCCGGGGGAGGAGGATCGGGGCATGGTGTCGCAGTGGTACCTATGAAAGGTACGCGATACGTCTGTCCACACTTCGTTTTGAGAACAAGAGTGTTGGTCGCCCAATCGGCCTCGGTGCGGCGGAACCGACGAGACCACGGAGTGCCGAGAATGAAGTCGTACCCCGTCTCCATCACATCGAAATGTGCAGAGGAGCGGTGGCGACGAGACGCCGGGGAACGATCAGTCGGCTCGAGAGTGAGGAAGAAGGGGAGGTTGGTGACCGTCTGATCGAAAAAGCGTTGGGTCTTGTCATCCCCTAGGGTAACGGAGATGGGAGTCGGAGACCCGGTCGTGGGTAAGCGGGCTTCCTTCACCACGCGTGGGTGAATGAAGTCGCCCTGAGAACCGGAATCCCACAGCGCTGAGTACACCCTCGTGTAGGTCCCGAGTCGTACTGGGATGATCGGAAGGGAGCGATCAGGGTTAGAAAGGATGGCGAGAAGGCGACGCAGTGCAGCGACATGGAGGGTGAGTCACTCCTGACGAGCCTGGAGCATGCTCAAGTCCAGAAGAGAGGACACAATGTCCTCACGGGTAGCAAGCTGCTCGCTGCAACGCGCTGAGCGAATGGCTTGGCGCGTCGGTAGTCGCGGCGGGGAAGGAGGGGAGACGGTGGTCTGCGGAGGCGCAAACGGTACTGCGACAGAGGGCTGAGTACACTCTGTCGAGTCCTACGATACCTCAACTCCTGTAGTGAGAGGGGCGAACCGCGACGGAGATGTCGGAAAGCCCACTACTGAGGAGGGCGAAGGTGTATACTGCACCATGGCTAGGAGGCGCCACGGGGACGTGAGGCGCCGGGGGGGGACTGAGCACGACGCTGACGAGAAAGATCAGCGTAGTGGCGGTCAAGGGCGGTAGTGTAAGGGCACCGCGAGGAGGTATGATCGTTCAAGCAGCAGCGCAAACACCCACGTTTGCCCAGAATAGCCGCGCGCTCCTCAGCGGAAAGGACACCGCGAGGAGGGACGAAGCCATGAGGGAGGTCCTCCTGAGGGACCTCGGGGGGCGACGCGCCAGCGTGACCGGGGCGGCTGCGTGCCCGAGAGAGGGCGGAGAGCGCGAGCTGAAGGCGCTCAGCTGCAGGGAGGGTAAAGTCCTCCAAGTGATAGTGGACGGCCTCGCAGAGATTGAGGTCGTCGCTGTGGTCGACCTCAGGTGACAATGGGGCAACAGCGTCCTGCTCACCATACTCTAGAGCGCTGAAGCGGTGCGAGAAGTGGCGGCCCTGTTGCGTGGAACGGCGGGGGCGACCGCGGAAAGGGGAACGGCGCTGGGAAGTGTCGGGAGAGGAGAAGGAGGCGTAGCCCGTGCGCTGGGGCTGGGAGGAGGAGGCGGGGTGAAGACGGGCTCGCATCCGCATGTGGTCCCTGGCGGCCTCGTAAGCTTGTGGGGCCGATGTGAACTCGTACCACCATAGCTCGGAGCGGTACTCGAGCGGAAGGCTGGCCAAGAAACGATCGATAAGGGCAGCCTCGGGGAGGAATGCCACGTCACAAACAAGGCGGGCGTCCTGAAAGACCTGCATATGGCGATCCAGGCCGGCAGCGCCACCAGAGCCGGACCAGTGTGTAGTGACGACACGCTCGAAGGCGTCAGTCACGTCGTATCAGGCTCCGAAGCGATCCTCGAGGAACGCCTGGAAATCCAGGACGGTCGGAGTCCGACCCTCACGAAGGGAGTAGGCATAGAAATCCTCCCTGGCCTTGAAAGGACCGCCACGCAGGCGCGTGGAGAGGTGACCCACCCATGTCTCAGGTGTGGCGCCCATAAGCTGGAGTGTGCGGGTGGCAAACAGCAGCCACCGAGACACGCGTATGCCTGTACCGTCATACAAGGCAATGTCAGACAAGCGGATAAGTGGTGCGCCACCGTTTTGGCGGCGAGGGGATCGAGGAGCGGAGGCCTGTGCCACGGCTGAGTAAGTCGGCGCAGGTCCTGGAGAAAGGGGCGCAGCTGACTGTGCGTCCGGGCCGCATGGGGAAGCGGCGGTGGCAACAGCGGCAGGCTGTGAGGGTGTTGCGGTAAAAGAGGTCGCAGCAACCGCGGAAGTAGGAAGAAGGTAGGAAGGAGTTGTATAGGGTGCAGGGCGCAGAAAGCGAGCCTGCATGGGAGGAAGGGTAGAGCAGGTAGGGGGTGCGCCCAAAGGCACGGCCACCTGTGAGGGTGGGGGTGGCTGAAGGCGTAAGAGGGCGACTTCGGCCCAGAGTTGGGCAATCTCGTCCGCGAGACCTCGAACGTAGGTCAATCGCGGGGTGGCAGGAGGAAGAGTGAAGGGGGTGGACGCACAAGCGGCGCGGGCATCCCAGAAGGAGGAGAGCCAGGTGGCGCTGCGGTCGTGCGAAGGGGAGGGAGAAGCGGGGCACCCGAAAAAGCTGAGACCATGGTAGAGGGTTGTTGTACCGTGGCCGTAGTGACCGGGATCTGGGTGGGTGCGCCCGTAGACTGAGGGGGGGTCTGGCTCGTGGCGGCCTTCGTGCTAGGGGCGTGGACAGTCACCAAGATGGCCGGGTCAGGGGCAACGGAGGAGGAAGCTCCGCCGTGGCCACCCTGTCATAGGACGGGGGACCCGGAGTGGGAGCCAGGAGATGACGGACACGCAGCGTCCTGGAGTTGCTGCATGCCGGCGGCAAGGGTCGCCACTTGCGCCTGTAAGGGCGCGAGGGTCACCTGGATGGGCGCAAGGGTCGCGAGTTGTGCCAAGATGGGCGTAAGGAGGGAGGTGAGGAGGGCGTGTAGATCCCCCTGAGGCTGATGGCCCTGGCCCGCCGGCACAGGTGTAGCCCGATGCCGTGGTCATCGCCGTGTCGGCGGCGTGTGACGCACCGTCGGCCATGGGGAGATGACGGACCGGACTGGAGGGGGCTAGAAGAGGTCCGCGTGAGCGGAGGGCGTAGGGGGAAGTCCGCGGTAGAAAGCGGCGAACGGCGCTAGCAAGGCTAGCACGGGCGCCGTCAAAGGGGGAGGGGTGGTTCGGGTCCAGGGTGCCCGAAGAGGACGGGGAAGTAGGGGGGTTTTGAGGAACTCTAAACCCTACAAAAACCCTTAGAAAACCCTATTCGAGGTTTAAGTGGCGAGGGTAGGGTACCGGTGACCTAATCAAGAAAGTAAAATAGCAAGCATAGGGAGGGGGGAGACGGGAGAAAAATAAATAAACAGCGAGATTTCGAGAAAAAAATAAAAATAAATAAGAAAATAAATAAATAATAAAAATAATTAAAGAAATAAGTAAAGAGATGTGAAGGAAAACAATATTTATTTTTTTGAATTTTTTTGGAAGCAGTTCCCTACCCCCCACGGGGTCAGGAATGTGCCAAGGAAAAAGGAGAGACCGAGGTGAGCACACTAGAGATGCCGCACATAATAAAAAAGAAATTTCAGAAAATAAATAAATAAATAATAAATAAATAAGTAAGTAAATAAGTGTGTGAGAAGGTGGGGAGAAATAGGTTATTTGATTTTTATTTTTATTTTATTTTTTCAAAAATTTTGGCAGCATTTCGTTACTCCCATGGGGTCGAAGTGTGCCGAAAAGACTAAGTAAGAGAAAATCAGAAAATTTCGGCAGCACTTCGTTACCCCCATGGGGTCAAAACGTGTGTCGAAAGCAAGAAAGGCTAACACCTAATCAGATTTAGGGTTGCCGCCAAGAAATTCTAATTTTCAGAATAAATAAAAATAAATAAAATAAATCAAAAAATAAGAAAAGAGGGTGGGGAAGAAGATGAGAAAACTAACAACTAATCAGATTTAGGGTTGCCGTAGAGAAAATCGAATTTTCAGAATAAATAGAAAAATAAAGGAAATGAATTTGAAAATCAGAAAAGAGGGTGGGAAAGAAGAAATTTCGAATTTTTAGAAAAAAGAAAAGATAAATCAAAAGAGAGGTGGAAAGAAAAAAAAACAGAAAATTTTTCGAAGTAGGGGAGAAGGGGAATGAAAAGTGAGGGAGAAAAGAAAGAAATGGGTGGGGGGAGAGAAAAAGATGAAGTGGGAGGTAGGGGGGGATGGAGTGGTAGTAGTTTGGGGAGAGGAGGGATGGGGAAAGGTGGACAGGGATCAAGAGACAAAGAGAAAAGGAGGAAGAAAAGAAAAGAATAAAGAAAGGAGAGTAAAAGAATGGGTGTTGGGAGAAAGGTGGGGTGGGGAAGATAAAAGGAGGAGAGAAAAGATGCAGTGGAAGGTGGGGAGAAGAGAAGGGGTGAGTAAGAGGAGAGAGGAGAGGTAGGGAGAGTGGGTTAGTAGAGGAAGGGGGGAAGAAGGGAGTGATACCKGGCCCTTGGTGTCTCCAAGGGCACAAGGTACACCAAGACCAGGAGGGTCTTGGTCTTCGCTGCAGCAGCCAGTTGGAGGAGARAGGGGGCTGAGATCTTGATCAGCCCCCAGCAGCACTTCTGCAGATGTGCAGATGTAGGGTCTGCTGTGTGAGCAGGCCCTCACCACTGTAGAGCAGCCCCCTTGAGGAGAGGGGTCTTCAGTTCACAGTAGCTGCCACGTGGCATGGCAGCAGCATCCACAGCGGGGGGGGGGGGGTGAATAGCAGCTTGCTGTTGCTGACCGGTGCTCGCTGCCGGGGGGTAAATAGCCAACACGGCACCTCTTCAACACGAGTGTGCCGTGCTACAACACCATGTACACTCTGTGGCGAGTGTGTTAGCAGGGTGCTCACGCACGCGCATGCCCCGGTAGCCACCTGGGTTCAAAACCCCAGCAGCAGCAAGACTCCTGGATCTTGATAATATAAATCCGGGAGCAGGGAGGGGTGGGGCAGCGGGGACAGCGTGGGCGCGTGGCGTGCGGTGGCCTTGCAAGCGTCGTGCTTGTGGTGGCGCCTCCCTTTTTCGCCACGTGTCCCTTGCAGCGGACGCCACCTTTTTTCCTTCGTTTTCGCTGCAAAACGGCCGAAAACACCGAAAAAATCCGCTGTCTGGTTTGCTGTATTCCCGGCTGTGCGGACTGCTGGACAGCTGTACGGGGTGGTGGGTGGGAGCAGGAACCGTTCCTGCCCCGATACCAATGTAGCGGACCCACCAGGTGTGGTGCTCCGCTAGTGGTAGAGATGGAGATGGAGGAAGAAAGGGGGGAGCGAGGTGGCACAACGCAGCTCCCCACGCAAGACTCCAACGCACGTACTCCAAAATGTGCCAGTGAAGAATGAGACTGAAAACA